ATGCCCGTTCTAGTAAAAATATTGCATACTTATGCATATTTTCATCTGGAAATTGCGGGCTAGATTTGAGCTCTACCCAAAATTGACATCTACCAAATATGGTTTAATAAATCCAATTGTGGGAAGCCAATTTAATGGGACTAGAGTTTACTACTTCATTTTACTTATTAAAAACGAAAACTTTTTTAGTTTATGTTTTGCAAAGTAAAATACATAGCTTATGTAATTTGATGCAACAAATTAGGCTGTTGAGATATGAGGATGTGTTTTACACACAAGTCAGGTGCGCTGTAGTAAACTGGGTTACGTCTGCCCGAAAAGGCCCATTAAAAGGCCGGCGGATAATGAGCACAGTTTTGAGGCTGAGAAAAGGTTTATTAAGGAATTGGGTCGCGGTGGCAGAAATGCAATCGGGCATGTTTTTCGTTTTGGGCAATTAAATAACCAGCCGAACAAAATGTTGGTATTGGTATTGGTATTGGAAACCGTTTCGAGTGATCTCCGCGCTTGTCATTAATTCAATAGCAATAATTCAGCCGAGTTGTGGAAGCAAGTTGGAAGTTGTCGCGGGAATCGCGGCATGATAAGGAGGAGGCAGCTTAAGTCAATGTGCTCATTTCAATGCCCGCGGACAGCGGGACTATCTCAAGATGTGCGCAAAAAGAACCGTTTAAATGTCAATCCAGAAATACCAGTTAGAAAAGGTGGTGCAGCAGCCGCCGCAGCCGCAGCCGCAGCAGCATCAGCAGCAGATACTTCAGATAGATGCATAGAAAGAGTAGGAAGAAATCGTACTTATATGTTTAGTCACATGCTCGCAATGTGTAGCACCAAATGCTGCTGCTGCTGCTGCTGCTGCTGCTGGTGCTGTTAGCCAGGCCTAAGTTGCCTTGATGCTATTTAGGCCAAGTCAATGCGGGTTGTTCTCAGCCTGTTGTCATATTTAACAATTTATTTGATTTGCTCGCAATGTGCACATGCATACCAAAGGAGGACGCCTGCGCCCAATCAATCTGGTTCTTCATATATATATACCTCGAGAATAGTCAGCAGAACTATTTTCTCCAAATTTCTCCTGGAAATAATTTGGTAATAAATCTCTTTACTTTTTTTTACTCTGCATATGCAGCTAAAAGAACCTTCATCTAGAATATATATATATTCTTATATTCGTATTCGTATATATTTATGTATCTTTAATTCACAGCCAATCTCTACCAAAAGATAACTCTCTCTTGTATCAAACGCGATTACTCTTAAGCATATATCCCAGATATTAGCTGCACAGGCAACACTTTGTTTCCGTCTCGTCTGAAAATGGGTTATAATGCAGAAATGTCTGTTACCTTTGTTTACAATCTGTAACTAATTTACATAGGGTCATGTGTGGAAACGCAAATAAATTAAAATGCTAATATCTTGCCTGGGAAATGCAGCGGTAACAAAAACCCACTAACATATTAAAGTAGTCTGCTTTCATCTCATGTTTACGACATGCAGCTAAATCCATAATTTCCATTTTGATTGCCACGCCGGAAGGAAGGTACTCTCAAATAGTTATTCAAACTGAACAGAGTTTCTAGATCGTGCACCTGCTTTAAGGATTAATTCGCATCGCTCACTTTCGATTGAATCGATATAATTCTAATTCTACAATAAGCCGATAGTTATCGATTTTAAGAGATAGTTAGATAGACTCCTTTATACCCTGATCGAAAGACTGTTGGTAGATCGCCTCACCTGATCAAGAATATATAACTTTACTCTATTATCCCATTTGTTCATTCTACACAAACAAAGTTCCTTCTGTTCTGCTGTTCACATTTTAAAACTTATACTAAGTATAATCCACAAGTTGGTCTACGTCGAAAACTGTCAATCAGCAGATGTCACTCGTCAATGTTGCATTCAAGATGTTTGTGTCATTCCATAGATGTCAACTAAAGAGTTCAGTAGCCTCGTTAGTTGGCAGTGTTTTATTTTTTCTTCTTCTTAACTGTAGCGTCTCATCATTGGGATTGTTTGCCAAGTTAACAATGGGTTGGACTTAAATCAATATTAAAGCATTTCTTACTAAGAAAACATTATAGAAACCGTCAAAGGGCAGTTGCTCGAGTAGAAGTAAAGCTAGTTGTCGAGCCTACAATAATTCTTGTTTTTCTGACCATATATATCTTAAAGTTGATATGCATCTTCATTTCTTGATCATATCTGGAACTTAAGAATGCTTTAGTTTAGGGATACCTCGCCTCAATCCCTCTAGATATAGAAGAAAAAACTCTTTTGTTAAGTTAAAACTTGCACTTGGGTATATACACACTTTAGCATGCTATATTTAAGACCATAAAACGGCATAAGGATCGGACTATAAAGACCGAAGTTAGCCAAGAATGCATTTCCCATACATAGAGTGCGGCAAAGAAAAGAAGAAGAAGAAGCACAGTCACTGCATAAGGTGCACAGTTTGCGGCGCGCGTTCGTGCATAAATGTGTATGTATGTATGTATGTATGTATGTATGCATGTGTGCATAGAACAAAAGGTAGAATGCTTTTAACTCGATTCAGGGTGTCTAACTTGTTAACTATTAATAGTACTTAAGCTATTGGAAGGCTTGGAGTTGCCTTTGGGCATGCCCAACTCTAATTTAAAATAACAAAGATTGTTTTTCTAAAGATTTTATTGTAAGAGAAAAAGAGCCTCTGGGTTGTCTGATAGATAGATAGATAAACGCAAAGGTCATTAGACCATAATAAGCCTATTAGGCTTATTAACAACAACTACTTACATACAATTAGATGGGCATAATGGTATCTGCCCTGGCAGGGCGCCAGAGCAATTGAACGGACTAAACGACACCTCGTGAAGCTGGCACGAAAACATAATTAAATTAATACCTTTGCTATTGTTTTTCTTAACGTTTTCCAGCGTGCCGGCTACGAGGAGCTCAAAAATAGACAACGTGCGCAGTCCACGCATATCGAGGAAAATATTTCCAATGAAAAGCAGCATAAAACCATTACGCAGCATGAGGGAAACGCACTCACTCCTTCTCCTACTGTTGCTCCTCCTCGCCTGCCTGTGTCCACAGCCAGGAGATGCGGCCGCAACACTGCAGCCAGCTGGAGGCAGGGACAATTTGGCGGACCTGGTGCCAGTCGTCATTCAACTGGCACCACCACCACCACAACAACAAGCAGCATCAATGCCTGAAAGTGACAAAACAAAGAGTACCGACAGCAAGGCAGCTGATCCCAGCCAGAAGAATGATCAATCATTGTACGTGGCCAATGCCACGGGGCAGCGAGGGGCTGCGGCAACAAAGACCAAATTGGTTGACGGTAAATACCTGCAATACAGTAGCTGCGGCTAACTCGGCCCGATAATGCCGCGATTAACCATGACACTGGTCATTTTCTACCGATAGATGCCAGCCAGGCAGACGCACAAATGCCCTTATCCAGCGAACAGACACATCAGCCCCACATCGATGAGGACATTGTCTTTGAGCGCATTTTGCCAGCCACCCATTCAAACGATCACAATTCGGTTGAGGAATGTGACCCAGATTTGCTGGGCTTTGAAATTATTACGGGGTAAGGTAATTTTTAATGCATCTTAAATATACAAAAACATATATATTGCATTCTATTGGATTATGAAGATTATTTTCTGTTGTGAACCATGAACAAGAAGGTTGCTGGTTCAAATCTCAAATGCCAACGTTATATAAAAAGTTAGACAGTTTATAACTATATCCTATGTAATCCTAATCAGAATCCACACTTAAATCAGATACAGCCTCATCCAAATCCTACAACTTTATTATATAGGAACCATCGATTGCACATATGGTTTATTTTTACTAAGTGTATTTAGTCTTCGGCTAGCCGAAGTTAGCTTTTATTTCTTCTGCATAATAACAGCTACTTTTCTTAAGTGTTCACGATCTTTAGGGCAGCATATATGATTTATTCATTATGACTTATTATCATTGTAATTGAATATCATTTACAGTTATGTTTTCTCAGCGCCGGGAAGACTGCTGGACTCATTACCCGGCACTTTGATGCTCACAGACTGTTTAGAATCTTGTCAGAACAATGAAACATGTCAGGCCGTCAACTATGAGACAGGACTTTGTGTTCTATTCTCATCTAATGCTGATATTTTGCCGGGTAAGTTAAGGCCAAAAAGTTCAAGTTTTTATTTGAAAGTTACATTTATATTTGTGTTTAACTCGTAAATCAGTTTAATGAGGTTCATTAATGGTTCCATTTTTTTTTTTTTTTGGTAGGTGCCCTAACAAAATCACAATTTCCAGTTTTTACGATATATGCACAAAAAACCTGCTTGGGAGTGCGCCCGTGTGCCAGAGCTTGGTGTATTGATCGAGTCCAAAACTACAGACTGGATGGACATGCTAAACGGGTCATTTCGGTCACATCTCGTCGTGATTGCCTCGAGTTGTGTCTCGGCGAAACTGAATTCATATGCAGGTGAATCAAGTTAGAGAGAGGGTTTCTATTGCGACTAGTTAAATTATTAGAAGAAGAAACTGGCGGGCAGAATTAGGTTCTTGTTTTTATTGTGACAAGAAAAATATAGATATCTAGTCAAATATTTATTTCATATTTTGTTCAAATTTTCTTGCAGGTCGGCAAACTATTATCGCGAATCCAAAACATGTGAGCTAGCCGAAATGGACCGCTTTACATTGGCGGGTTCGAACTCGTTCCAGGCACATGTCGGCACAGAATATTTGGAAAACAATTGTGCGGAGGAGCCGAATAAGCTATGCGAATTCAAGCGTTTGCCGGGCAGAATACTGAAAACTGTGGACTCGGTATATCAAGATATTGGCAGCGTTGACGAGTGCCGCGATCTGTGTCTTAATTCGCCGTACAGGTTAGAAAGAGGACAATCAATGCATAATTAGAATCATTTGTTGAGAGAGCATTTAACAAAACTCTTGGCGTTTCAGATGCCATTCGTATGATTACGGAGACACTGGCGACATGGTCTGCCGCCTCTCGCACCACAGTCGAGCAACGCTTTCGGATGTGCAAGATCCCTATTTGGAGGTGCCAGAGGCGTCTACCTATGAGCTGTCATCCTGTTATAATGTGACCATCGAGTGCGGCGCAGGAGACATGGTCGCTCGCATACGCACATCTAAGCTCTTCGACGGCAAGGTCTATGCCAAGGGCGCGCCCAAATCTTGTGCCGTGGACGTGAGCGGTTCGTTGGACTTTGAGATACGCATGGGCTACCAGAATCTCGAGTGCAATGTGCGTCAAAGTGGCTCGGGTCGCTACATGAACGATGTGGTCATTCAGCACCACGACACCATAGTCACGTCTTCAGATCTGGGCCTGGCAGTTACCTGCCAATATGATCTGACCAACAAGTCGGTGACAAATGATGTTGACCTGGGCGTGAAGGGCGATGTGGAGACAGCGCTCTCCGAGGAGGTTATTGTCGATTCGCCCAATGTTCTGATGAGAATCACATCCAGAGATGGCTCCGACATGATGCGCTCCGCCGAGGTGGGCGATCAGCTAGCACTCAACTTTGAAATAGCCGACCCACAGAGCCCCTATGAAATATTCGTACGTGAACTTGTGGCGATGGATGGCGCTGATAACGCAGAGATAACGCTTATAGACTCACAAGGCTGCCCCACAGATCACCTCATCATGGGGCCTATCTACAAAAGTGCATTGTCGGGCAAAATTCTATTTTCGAATTTCGATGCCTTCAAGTTCCCATCGAGTGATGTGGTACAGTTCCGTGCTTTGGTAACGCCCTGTATGCCCAGCTGTGAGCCGGTGCAATGCGACCAGGACGACATTACGGCGGAGTTTAGGACACAAGTCTCTTATGGACGCCGGCGGAGGCGCGAGACTTATGCAGAATGTAAGCATGTGCTATTGCATAGTTGATTTTTAAGAGTTATGCGTCTAAAACGACATATATCGATATTTTGAATATGGGAAGAGTTGGTGAAGCAAATGATAAACAAGAATATATATTCAATCTTTCCTATACCTATATCTTCTATATCCTATAAACCAATCAAGTCTGAAGAGTTCCAATTTGTACACTTATAGCAAATGTTGTGGGTCACCAGCAGCATCTGTTGTGGCGCACAAGTCGCGAGGCTAAGGCTGGCATGGTCAAGAACAAGCCCAGCCAGGAGGATTTGCTTCTGGTGCAATCGATTCAGATAACCGATAAATTTGGCTTCGCTAAGAAGCAGCAACAGGAGCAGCAGACAAATAGGGCCAAGGACTACGATAATTATGACAATGTGCTCTTTGTCAACGACACAATGCCTGGTTTATGCTTTGATGGCATCGGTACGTATAAGGGAATACCGGATCAAAGGTATTTATTGATTTATATGTGTTTTGTTGCAGGCTTTATTGTGGCTGCCACCGTGTTTTTTGTGGCCCAGTTCATTGTTATTGCCATTTGGTCATTTTTATACCGTCAACGACAGGTTCACCAGCCATATGTTAATCATTTTCCGAATGCGGCAACAAAATACCGGGGCAATAACTGCAACAATATCACATTTGATAAATAAACTGATAACCCACCCAGCGAGCGGACTCGATATACCCACTTTGGCAGCCGGGCCCCAGCCTGGGAGCCCGAACGATGGTAGTAGTTAGTATGTAATTGGGGCCTTTTTAGAATTGTGAGAAATCTTGGAGTCGGTGCAACAACATGATGCAATATTTTAGATATGAAAACGTAGGAACGCGTAGCTTAATTTAAGTGAACAAATTAAAATTATAAACAAGTGATATTTCGAAATTTAACAATTTGCTTAGTGTCAAATTTTGCAAAACATTAATATAAAAGTAGTTAATACTTAGTAGCAATAACAAACGATATTAATTTATTAATTTTGGAAAAATAGATGACTGTTTTCTAATGCACTTGTCAATTTTTCTGATTTGTTTAATAACTGTTTTAATTAAATTCGTATATATAAGTTAAATAAAATTAAATAATTCCATCATTAATATTCATACAAGAAGCTTGCAATTCTACGAAAGAAATATTATAAAAATATGTCGAATGTTTCGAATTTGAACAGGGTGTGTTCTAGTCGGGCACACTAAATAGCTTAGAGCACTATCACTTGATTTGAATATTAGTTAAAGGGAAAACAAGTAAACAAGTATTGCAATAAAAGGCTAGACAAGTTTGATAAACACTTGCTGATAATTTTATCAACAAGTTTTTAGCTCTTTCTAAGAATTAATTAATCTGTACGAAAATCTCGAAACAGGGTATAATATATAATAGCGACTCTTCAGTATACAGTAAGATATATATATATTAGATGAATTCGTTTAGAATGCAGTTTTGTATATCATAGTATTTTCCAGTTGTATTTAGATAAAGATAAGAACAGGCACATTATTCGTCGGCAATGAGAATTACCCATAGTTATGCCTTTGCCTTGCTCAAATAGTTTTTGTTTTTCCATTTTTGTTTTAATTATATTCCTAACTACCACTCACCCTTAACCGGTTATCCATTACAGTCCATACTCGAGCGCCATAATCGTTTGATGTACCCAGAATGTAAGCGCCGGTCGAGTCAAAATCGACAGAGTTAATCCCGGCACTACTCCCACTAAGCACAGCACGGGGCTCCGTAGAACCTAATTAGAATTGTATACAGTTAAAAAAAAACGAACAGCTTTGCGTCTGCAGCACAGTAATTACTTTTGCCGATATCCCATAGCTTGACTTTTCTATCGGCGCCGCCCGTAGCTACCATGCGCTCTACCGGACTCCAGCGTACTGCATGCGACTCGTTCTCGTGGGCTTCAAACTTCATCAGTATTTTGGTCGGATTGGGCTGGCCCAGATAGCCTGCCGCCTTAAGTGTTTCCATGGACATATTCGTGCCGATCCGTGCTAAATCATGGCCAATTTCACCGGCTGTGAATCTTGCACTGATATATTCCTCATCATTGAGTCCCAAGGCTTCCATGGCGCCGTTTATAAGGCCCTCATCGATTTCCTCGTCACTCACAGTAGTCCCGCTAAACTGGGCTGGACTCGAGTTACGATGCAGTGGGGTGCTGCCGGTCGCAGGAACTATCTGGTTTATTGCCGAATTGGGTTCACGAACGGCGTCTTCCAGGTCACGTTTCAGTTTTGCCGAACGTTTTCTGAAAATTGACGGCAGTCTTTTTCTAGATATTTTTGAAATCGGTTACATATTTTATGTTGAACCATATAAAAGCAAAACAAGAAAAACAAATCATTAAATTCGAGAATGCCCGTCTGTTGAGACAAATCAGCATTATTTACCTTGAATAAAGCAATGTGTTTAATTAATTAAATGATCCAATGAACAAGCTTGCGAATTATTGAATTGTCGAAGTTCTACTAAGTTATTTCAATCTGCCATCAATCTAGAGTTCGTTTTTTCGATAATATAAGAAAAATAGATGTGGATACAAAACTGTCCCCCAAAATTCAGAGCTGTGAGAGCCTAGATTGTCTTCGATGTGATGATAACTTTTTGATAAGCACTTAAGAAGACAACTTTGAAAACTCTTGATCTTGTATATAATACTTTATAGACAACCCTATAAAATACAAATTCGTAGACTTCTTAATATGAGAACTGATTTGACATGAAACCCATGCGCACCAAAACTACGTATATTCAAAGTTTTGTCCAATACTTATCAACATTTCCATAAAAATGATATGTTTACTATATCAAAAGCACGATCCGGTAATTGAAATATGAATATAGTGCAATGTATAATAAAAACCATTCTTTACTAATTGATTACCTTATGATACTTTCGTTTTCCTCATTCAGTTTATCGGCATCTTTGGCCCTATAGCGCATTAATCTTTCCAACAAGTAGCGATTTTCATCCTGTAAGTCAAGAGAAGATATGGAACATTATAACAAATAATTATATATAATTTTTCGCTTGGAATACAGCTGTATATGGCCTGGTAAAGGAATCTGTATATAAATGAGATCAAACGAACAAGTTGAATGGAAATATTATTGTTATTATTAAGTAAATCAATTCGACTCTTTCTATCACATAATGCCTCGCTGCATATACGATTAAATAAGAAAAGTCGATCAAAATAGCAAAACACATCTTCACAGACAGACGGACAAGACTATATAAACGGAATATATTATTGAGCAGAGCATGTCTTGTTTATCCATTTCAAATTTAGTCGAATTTTTTGTGGATTGGATGAGTACATAATTAACTTAACTATTTAAAAATATCTGACTATTTGAACCACACACATATTCTGTGCTATAATATACAAAGATATATTAACTACTTACCAAATTACTTCAAATAGCGATTAGGCAATAATAATGACATACAATTTATAATATGAGATAATTTGGAAAAGGTTACAATTTTTGAAAGCTTACAATACTAAAATGTTATGAACAATAATTGATAGAATTTGTTAGCAATGCTACCAAGATGACACCTTTTAGTCAGACGTACCTGGAATGACCATAGATCTACTGACCTGTACGTTGCGCATCTTATCCTCGAGGGAACTGAACGCCAGTTGAAGCGCCGTGTGCTCATCAAGCAATGTTGTATTCAGTTTCTTAAGTTCTTCTAAGCTGGAGTGTAGCAGCTGCACCTCAGCCCGTAAGCGATTGTTGGCAGTTTGTTGTTCGTAGAGACTGAAAATACAGCAGGGCTGAGTCAAATCGACACATCGATAGGTATTCTACGCTCACCTGTGCTCCCGTTCGGCAATAAGCTCCTTTTGCTGTTCCACTTTCAGATTTAAATCGACAATCATTTGGGAGTGTTCACCCTTCCGCTTGTGCAGGTCCGTAAGTTCCTCTTGTTGCGCTAGCAGCTTCTTTTCCAGCGTAGCTATGGCTACATTGGGGCCGGTGCCACCTGTTGACACAGCATTTCGCAGTTGCTCGTTCTCCACAGACAATTTCAGGTTGTCCGATTTGAGCTGCGCAACGTGATCTATAAGCCGGTTGTCTATGATTGCAAAGAGAAAAGGTGTTAATAAGTATAAGACGCAAATTAAGATCTGGGCGCAGTCAGAACCTGCTCTAGCTACACCATATTTGTATACGTATGTTTCTCACTTTGCACTATGATCTCCTTGAAGGTTTCACACTCCTTGCGGTCTCGCTCACGCAATTTCTGGACAACGTGGTCGCGCCACACGTACTCCTCGGTGGACATCTTGCAGCAGTTCCAATGAGTTTTAGCTCGTCCCAATATTTAATTGCGCCTTGCTGCTGTTGCTGTCACAATGCGAATGCAGGCATATTTACAATGTCAACGGAGACCTATTTAATTTCCAGAATCTATGCTGTGCTGTGCTCAAATGTAAATTATTTTGGTATCAGAGAATGTTTCCTTTCTTGTTGCAAGAATTTGTTGTGACCGGACGATAATTGTTGTACGCTATCTTGCTGAACAGCTGTTTTTACTGTGGTGGTTGCACGATACCTTGCCAATCGATAAATATTTTAAAATACTAAAAATACCAAGTTCAGGGTAAGTGGCAGAAAGTTTCCGTTATTTTTAATTAATGGCGGTTGTAAATACCGCTGGGTGAAATATATTAAAAAACTCGATATAACTCGGCAATTATACGACTTTCAACTTGCATAACAGTAATTCATTATATATTAATTATATAATGGGAAAACCCTAGTCTTTTCTCTATTATTTTTGAAGTCCTTAGCGTAAACTTAAACAATTTTTTGTTTTATGAATAGATAGAAAGCTTAATTTTCTTTTTCCTCTAATCAAACAGCCTCATTTAAACAGGTACGAAAAAAATATACTAGCCACTTGGCTGGATTAGAAACTTGACATTTTCAGTCCAGGTGTGATTTTCACTTGTTTCAATTGTAACTACTTAATAGAGTTTCCCAATTAGCTGAAGTGAATGAAGATTTTCCCTTAATTCTATATGTTATAAAATATCGCTAAGACTTGTCCACTTGTCTACTCTATATCCATATTTTGTAGTCAATAATTTTATTTGACCATATCAAATTTTCGAAATAAATTAAACGCAATTGAATTAAAACACACCTGTCCCGCTCAAACAAGTTCAATCAATATTAATTAAAATACAGGTATTTTCCCTTAGGCGCAATCCCGTTCCTGACGTTTTGCATGGGTGCTTCTGTTGTGTGCAGGGTTGCTGTGGAGTGCAGGGGTGTTGCGGTGCCTGCTTGCACCGAGTTTCATAATTCGACTTAAACGCTACGAGGCAATTTGCAGTAGCTACAATAACAAAGCACAAACAACATGAACAAAGTGCACATTCCTGCCGCTAAAACGCCGCCTGCTGCTGCTGTTGCTGCTGCTGCTGCTGCTGCTGCATTATTACAAACACAATAATAACAACAACAATAACAACATGTGGTAGAGAAGAACCATTCACTCACACACGGACACAACTCAAACAGACCGCAACCCCTTGCTGGGCAACCACCACCCACACGCGCGGGGAAGAAAAAGTACGAGAGAGAACGAGCTGAGCTTTGAGCGCGACTTGCGAACAATCATTTCGCCGCATGCGCATAACGAGCAGGGTGCGCTGAGCTTTTCAACGACACGCGTCGTTGGCCATTTTTGGGTGGTTGTCGTTCAAAGCTCGTCGCGCTGTTGCGTCGCATTTATTGTGCCAGCTTTGTGTTATTGCACAGTCAATGCCGCCTCCAACTCTGACCAAGCAGGCCAGCGTGAACGTGTGGGTGTACGAGTGAGAGTGAGAGAGAGCGAGAGAGCGATTGCACTGAGAGTGTGCTTAAGCGGAGCTTTTGAATAAACGCTTTCAGTTGTTGCTGTAATAAACAGCAATTCTACTTTCCAAAGTTCAATTGAGAAATTCTACGGTGAGTGTGCGACTTTTTTGCCAGTTTGACGAAAGACGTTCGCGAGTGCGGTAACGGTAAACCCAAAAACGAACAGTAAACAAAAATAAATGTCGCTGTCTGTCGCAAAGGCGCAGGGGGTTGAAATTGAAATTAACATTGCATCAGCATAAGGCGCAATAACTTTTCTGCAAAAAGTGTTCGAAGTGTAGTGAGGATATACTCTCTAAACATATAAATAATAATTACAACATTATTATCATCTATGTCTGTATGTATGTATGTCTGTTGGTGCAAGTGCAAAGTTAAATAAAAAAATCAAATAAACTGCAACATTAAACACACACAACGTACACTGTGCAGTTTGCGGGCTAGCTGTGACTTAAACACGCCGTGTTGCGCCTCTATCCAAGGGTGAACGGGAGCGTTCCAGCCACCCTCGCCCACCCTCGGCCGCCTTGAATAAACTTTCATCCCAATCGTGTGCTGTGAAAATCACACAACAAAAACAAGCGCAGAGTTTTAGTTTTTATTCGCACAGCCATTTGCTTAGTGCCACAGCAAAGCCGCGGGCGTGGCGTCCACGGAAACGGACACGGACACGGCTAGGGACGCGGCGACAGACGCTCGCACACACAAACACACACACACACACACGCGGAGACAGTAGCGGCAGTTGCAACGGGACCATTTCAATTTTTTGTCTCTCGTTTTCGTCGTGTGTTAATTTGTCCTGCATTTGCAGCAACTGTGAAAAATAACTGCGCAAAGTTTTACTTTCGCTCGTGGAAAATATTTGGTGAGTGCTGTACAAATAAAACCGTTCGATCCATATCATATTTTTTTGTTATACTATATATATTGAAAAGTTGTGTATATATATCAATTAATGATATCTATATATATTGAATTTGATGATTATCTTAAAACCTTTTTGAATAGAAATTTATTTATGGAAAATGAAAAGCTAGGTCTTTAAATATATTTAGGAAATTAAATAATATTAATAATATAATAAGAATAATGTTAATTGTTTTTAAATTTTGAATTCCTTTTTAAGCAGAAAATTTGCATACGAAAGTATCAATGTCCCATTTTCATATGTAATTTAGTTGATCTCCTTTCGCTCAGTGTAGGCACAGGCACTCACATGTAAAATGCGCAACTGGCGTATTGAAGAGATTTAGTCAACAGCTATACAATAAAGTAGTTAAGGGTTTTGGTAAACAAAGATGGCCAGAGTCGGCTCGTATTAAGGGTCAAATGCGAAATCCATGTCCGAAAACAAGGAACAGCCCAATTCGAAAATCCAAATTCAAATTCAGAGCAGAGCTGAGCTGAGCAGAGCTTCCCCTTGCGCATCTCACATACATATGTACATATGTGTGGCACAGTGGGCAGCAGTCAACTAACTAAACAAAAGAGGGCAATTCTGAAGAGCTTAAAATGCGTTTTGTCAACATTAGACAAAAGGTTCGTCGACTCTGTGTGTGTGTGTGTGTGTGTGTGTGGGTGGTTGCTTGCTTTTTGTTGGGGGCAGGGTCAGGCGGTCGAGTGTCATGTGTGGATAAGGGGAATGATTAATGCTGCAGAAATTGCTTTCGAATTGCCACCAAACACAACAGCAGCAACAATGTTGGATTTCTAATGTGGATATTGTGGATGCGGGAAATGCACAATGTAGATGCCATCGCCGTTGCCGTCGCCTGTTGCCGCCAACCCTCTCAAGGACGGCACGCTGCAGGGTCGTGCGAAACAACCCTCGTTTTGCTGCAACTGCCACTGCAACTGCAACAATGATGAATAATTCAAATTCGGGCGCGCATCTCGTATGCATGTGCATGCAGGTACAAAAGGCGAACAGCAGCAGCTGAGTTACGGTAACTTGCGCAATCCCTACCAGTTTAGGGGGCTTAAGTGCATTATCCTTGAGCGAGTTGCATGGCAGCGCTGCCTAACCCTCAAAATAATTGCTTGCATCTTGCAGCCAACGCCAAGTTCAGTCATGCCTCCAAGCAACGCCTGCCTGCTTTTGGGTGGCCTCGCAGCCTTCCGCCGGGTCCTTGACTCGAGCTGTTTCCCCTAACAACCCACCAGTCATCCTCTTGCCCGCCTTCCTCTGTGTCTGTGCACCTGTAGTGATCAATCATCATGGGATGCCTGGCTGTTCTGGCTGTTTGTTCAATTTCTTTATGGACTGGCAAGAAATTTCATATTTCTCTTTTCAATTCACAAAGGAAACCCATCAAAAACAATTTACCTGAAATGCTTGACTAGCTGATTTAAGACGTTTTCAAGCGCTGAAGTAAATTTTATTGAAATTTTATTATATATAAGATCACAGTTCGAAAGCCATTTCCTTGGGTTTGCTGTCTGAAAGTCGCTAGCCGAATAACGAAGAAGACTCTGAACAGAGTATGGCGCAGTCGATTATAGTTGGACGCAACGTTCAAAGTTGTTAGCTCCTGAGTTGCTGCGATTTTAGTTGACTTTATGGAATTTAATTAGGAGTATTGACCAGCACTCAATATGAAGATATCACAACTCAGTCAGTTCCGTATCCTGAGCTCCTTAACGATATTAACAGGCGGGTGTGGCAAAGGGGGGGGGGGGCGGACTTTGGCCTGCTATTTCCACGCCGGGCACGTTTCTCTGTTCCAGCTAAATTAGATTGCGTGCAGAATGTGGGCGAGCTGCTCGACAGGTGCAAACTGCGGCGTCGTCGTCAGCTTTGGCTCAGGCAGGGGGCCGAAGTAAGTCAGCGCCGGCATTGCGTGTGCAACTATTGACTGAGACCGAGACCGGGACAGGGACTGGGACTGGGACTGGGACTGGGACTGGGACAGAGGGCCATGGCTGGCGACTACGCGCCGGATCTACTCTTCACCCAACTGTGCTGTTGTGTTCTTGTGCCGCGGAAACTTATGCACAGCAACTAATCTCTTTAGTGCAATTAATTATGTGCCGACGCTATTTTGTTAACCAGGGCAACCCGAGCCAAAGACTGAAAGAGCGTTACCAGGCCATTCTCTGGGCCCGGCCTGGTCCGCGGCTTGGCCCAAACAGTTTTAGATGTTTCGTAAAAACTTTATCCTTCCGCCTGCCCGATAAGCCAGCCACAAAAGCGAACGCTTCACGCAACTTTTTCGCAGCGCTTGCATATTACTCAACACACCATCCGTCCAAGAACTTTGCACCCGGCTCAGCTGTTTGCCTTAGTTCTTTGATCAGAACAGTATACACTATAAATAATAATGCAGCATAATATTGGTATGTTATAGGAGAAGTCTTGATTAACAAATGCTGCTCTGCTCAACTGCAACGAGCTAATCAACAACTTTCTAGTAATGGGATGTAAATTGAACTTTGTTTTTTTGCCAAAATCTTAAAGAAATTTATGTGAGTGCACACATAAAAGCTAAAGTCTAATAAGTCTGTCCGAGCATATTCAGAGGAAAGCTTACCTATCGAACGCTTCATTTATTAACAATTTTGGTAGGTGTTCAATGAAAATCCAGTTCTCATCAGGTAAATGAATGCTCTATAAGTATTATTATTGAAGACTCAAACGGAAAAATGACACAAATTGATTACTTATACGACCCGTTGCCATCATATGTGAGAGAGCAGAGCAGACTGAAAGACTGTGTGCACATTTGAATGTGGGATGCGTAATTGCAAAGCTTGTTTCTGGCCAATTAAGTGCAAATTACATTATAAAACTCGCTGTGTATATATATAGTATATACGCCACGTACGCCCACGAAATTTCCACGATTCAATTTCAATGTCAGTCCGTCAGCTGCTCGGTTTGTCACTTTGTCAGCGTCAGCTTCAAAGTACCACCACAACAAAAACAAATCAGAAACAGAAGCATGAGCAGAAGCTGAGTCCAAGAGCCAACCATTCGGATGGGATCTCTATGGCCTGGTGAGTGCGTGATGATGTTTCTTGGGGCCTGGGCCGCACTGTGCATAAGTGAATGAAAATGAAAAAGTGCTGGTGGCACACAAGTTACGTGATCCGAATGCCAAAACTCGACTGACATTAAATGACGGCAACGCGTCGGGCGAGAATGACAAGTGGCGAGTGGGCGAGTCGGCGACTGGGCGGTGAATGGTCACTGGCTGCCCAACCATGACTGGCGACTGGTCAATGCCTCAGCCCTCCCAATATACAATGCGGACCATGCTGAGTACACATTGTGCTCCATACACAGGCAACAGAGCTCAGAGCAAATTAAATAATTTGTATTGCTGCAATTGTTGGTATTTGAGGTTGAGTCCCCCCTCCCTTGTTATGTTTACTTGTGGATGTCACTGTCGGACCATCTCTAACATACATTTTTTGAAATTAATTAGATTTCTCCAAAAAAAGCAGCAAATTAAATTCAAAACGATTGCGGAGAGTGTCGTAAATATTGAAGCAGTGCGGATAGCTACGATTTGCCTCGCTAACCACCGCTTACTGAGATTTCTGTCATTTCTTTAGAGCTTTGAGATTGTGTTGGCTTGTTATAGGCTCGCCAGATGTGCTGCTGCTGGTTGTTATTCCCGGGCTCAAAGGTCACAGGAGCTGACCGGAAAAATGCGTAATTAAAATTTTAATTAAAACCATAAAAGCCACTGCCACATGCCAGAACTCACAAGATTTGGTTACTTTTTGTGTACTCCATATTTTGTAGATGTTTAAAAGCGTACGTGCTTGACTTAAAGAAGATATCAACCTAATTCATATTCGTGTAACCTTACTCGCAAAATGTCATTAAGACACCATTAAACCATGAGAATCGCAAAGAAAGGCGAAATCTATGCAGATATGAGAGAGCAGCGAAGTAAAAGCTGTATCAGGTATGAAAGAAAGAGAAAGAAAGATAATTCCTTATACAATAAGTACATTTAATTAACGAATAAAAATTGAAAAGAATAAAGAAGCTTAAAGGGATATCAGTAATATTAATAAGAACTAGTTCCAAGTTCAATGTTAAATCTTTGACTGTCAGAAATCGTAAAATCTCTTTAAAGAGTTTGTGAATCACATTATTACTGGAAAACTACTTATGTATGCCCATTTCCTATAACACGAACCTATTAATTTTTATCTCTTATTAAATCTTAAGGCGACAAGCGAAAAACAATATTTGTTTACCCCGAAAAAGCATATTAAACAAATGGCAGCTAGTACTATAAGATATTATATTCAGCCTAATCAAGGTAATTTAAGTGTTATACGCCTTAAAAAACACATTTTCTCACAAATTAACCAATTTATTGATTAGATTGCGATTGAATAGGCAATAATACAGCAGTAACACCAACCGACTTTGGGGATAAATATAAATAATAGGAAATATAAATCAGAAGCTTTGCACCTATGAATGCAGCCAGGTGGTTGGGTATTTATAAAATATATACATATGTGCTTCTGGTTATCCACATAGTATGTTTATGTTTGAATCTTGTCGCAATAACAAATGAATTGGTCAATTAGTCGGGCTTCAAATTTATCTATGGGCCAATGAATCAATGCGAGCCTGTGAATCAATGGAATGTCGCTGGTTCAAGACAGTGACATATTCTCTGTGAATAGTGTATTTAATACAGGTAATAAATTACAGACATGCGATAGCTGCAATTCATCCCGGAAGCTCAGCTTTACGGGCATTCGGGTAGGGGTCCGGGAGCATGCGAAACCATTATAATTGAGCACCTGCAGTTGTTCCATATAAGCACCCACCCACCCAAGCACACACACCCCCCGTAAACCATTCATTTATTAGATTGCATGCAGAAATGATGTCAATATAAAACGAACCCAAGTTTTAAAGGTAAAAGCAGAAAATGTGTAACCGTAAACTCAGCTGGTAACCACAAAAACAATTTGGTGGTTGGGCGGGTTCACGTACGGCTGTGCATGTTAATGGTCTGGCCTGGTTGGGTGGGTGTCAGGGAAACAATTGTGTGTCATGCACTTTCAACCCCAGCGCCGTCATGTCTGCAACTCTCTGTTCAGCCGTGCTGGACGTGGGCGTGAGGAAGGGCAGGGGCGCGTTCGGAGCTGGGGCAAAGCTGGCCATGAGCAATTGTCTGGCGATGGGGTAACTAGAGCCAATGGACTAAATTGAGCAGCAGCAAGAACAGAACAGAAACAAAAGCAACAACTGCCAGAACAGCAACAAAGAAGCAACAGTCTGTCGCAGTTGCTGGCCCAGTTGGCGCAGCTTTTTGATACATTTTCATTTGGGTTTTCCGTTGAGTGACAGTTACGCCGAATTCCCCGCAACTGCAGCCCCGCGGCGCGAACACGTGCTCTGGGCCGGGGTCGGCTCCTGGTGTTCATTATTTTAGCCAGTGGCAAATGTTTTGCCAACCCTTCAGCCCTGCAGCCTGCCTTCACCTCCAACCGCCGTCTGCCGCAGTGCGTTTTAATTTCGTTTGATGTATTACCCAAACCCCCCTTCTCACTTCCCGCTCCAAGCCCGAACCCGAGCCAAATGCCACCCACGCAAACAGTTTGCTGGCAATTGTGAGTGGGGTAGTACGACTCTTTTATTTGTCTCTATTGTGTGCACATATTTAGATAAAGATATATACATATACATATATACGTGTATGTATATATGTATGTGAGGCAGCATTACTATGCAGATTTCTGTGATTTCCATTCAATATTACGCACAGAGCAAACAGCAATTTCCGCACCCAAATTCAATAAGCCGTTTCATCAGCATTGTCTAGAATGGGCTCTTAGCCAGGCCAGCATCCTGCCAACGTGTGCTTCAATTCCAGCGAAAAGTCCATAAAAACTAAAAGATGGCCAACCGCCAAAAATTGCGTTTTGTTTTTGAGTGTAGATTGGATGGAAATCTTTAAAAGGCAACCGCAGAAACACTTGGACCGTGACGAAAAGCGAATATTTGGGAAATACGAATGAGAAATGCCCTCACAAGCAGCCTTACAGTTCCTGTTAAGAAGAGAAGGGCATTCATTAAACCTAATCCGATCAAGACTCAAAGCCAAAGGTGGACATTGCAACTCCTAATTACTCTTAAGCCTGAATTAAATCCTAAAGTAAATCAGTTAGAAGACACCGCTTAGCAAGCCCAACATAAGGCCACAAAGCTGGCTTAAACCTTCAGCTGGTAATAGGATATATATATTTTCTATATTCTCCTGTATATACAGATAAAGATCCGAAACTGGGATTCGATTTGGTGTTTGTACTTTATCAAATATGATGACAAAGCCCTTGTATCTTTCGTAGAAAAATAAAAGTTCCATCAACATCAACATCAATGCAATTCCATTAGTACGAAATGATTTGATGCGCTCCGTTATCTCCGTAGTGTCAAGCGTCCAAAGGGACATGGACGGGGCAAACAACAGGAAGGAGTAGCGATTGCGATTGGAAAGCCATAAAACGCGCATTCTGTGCTGGGGGCGTGGCCCTTTGTTAGCTTTTGCCTTGGGAAGGCAGACAGTTTTTTATGGTCATACTGAGTGAGAGACAGCCACTCAGACCTCAGGCCCTAGATGAAACCCAGCTGGAGTAGCACCTAAAGCATAAAAACTCGAGCAATAAAGTATTTTCCTGTGTTTTTTTTTTTATACCCTGAACCCATTAAAACTGGGTATAAGGGTATATTGTATTTGTGCAAAATCCAAATGTATGTAACAGGCAGAAGGAAGCATCTCCGACCCCATAAAGTATATATATTCTTGATCAGCATCAATGGCCGAGTCCGTACGCAAGGATCTCAGATCATATAAGAGCTATAGACTTGAAATTTTAGATGTAGGTGTTCCTAGCTTCTAAAATAGAATATATATATATATATATATATGCATTTGATGTTGAAGAGGGAGAGGGTTCAGGGTATCCCCTAGTCGGGAGCTCCTGACTAGAACCTCTTACTTGTTTTTTAATACGACTTTGCTTTGTCGATTTAAGCTGATGTGTTTACTTTGTGCTTTATAAAACCCGAAAATAGCCCATTCGCGTGGCATAACCTTAAAGTTATGCTTAAAACGCATCAGTGCGGTGCTAGTGCAGGTGTTGTTATTATTTACCTGTGGACAGTTGACCTCAATGGGACAAATTTCACATTCCTAATGGCACTCTGCACCAGAGGCCCGAAATGTGTGTGTTATACCAGGCCATGGGAAGCGGCACACCCAAATTAAATGATAGCAGCCGACTGGCACGGGACCTGCGCGCCTGCCACCTGCCACGGTGGCCACTAATTGAAATGGACTGCCACTGCCCCGAAAATCCTATTACCCTTATCCAAGCAGCGTGCACTTCTGGGCGCTATTCGCTGTGTCCATTTGACCATTGCGTAGATGCTTCATGTGGCATTTTAAATGAGGACGACAAATAAGGCTTGCTAAAAGTACCCAGCAAATCTGTGTACTTTGGTATTGCTGCCAGGGCTGCAGGCTAAAATTACAATTTACTTTTTAACATGAATCGATCCGAAAAACTAACCGAGTCATACTTTTATGCATAAGTCTTTTGGTTTAACTCGAATAACTCTTGGGGGTACCAAAACCAGATTCACGAACTAAACCAAACGACATGGAGCTGGTTCGAAGCGTGAGCTGAACCAGCAGGAATTTAGTTTCGCTCGCAGCCCTGATAAAATGGGCAATACTTGAGAGACAGACAGTTGTAAATATTAACTTAGCTAGTTAGTTGCGTGATTCAATTTGAATGCATCTTTAATTTGTTGCCAAGCACTTGACGCACTTCTCTCAGCTGACGACAGACATTGGCAAACTCGATGGGTTTCACTTTAACTACTTAGAGCTGGGCCAGCATATGGCACACAGCCCCGAGGAATGTTGTGTAATGTGCACCTGCCACGTTAGCTGGCAGGGAAATGGGAAATGGGAGACAGCTGCCTCGGGCGAGGCATTAATTCCGGCAGCCGCAGCTGCGCGTCTAGAGATGCAGATGCAGCCAGGGGCATATATGAAATGCCGACAGAGCCGGCGCGTTCCAATACACAGAAATGGGAATTCTGGGGGCGTTCGTCGGTGTCGAACCCGGATGGCGTTAGTGTGGCTCAGCAACAGGAAAATGGAATAGGAAATTGAGTGTGTCTAATGCGTGCTTCTGGAGCACATTTTAAATGAATTTTTCACAGTCATGTGTCGTCAGACTCCAAGTTGCAGTTGCACTCGCACCTGCACATCTGCAACAGGTGACGTTGCCAGCGACTGATGCTCTGCCATACTTTTTATTAAAATCGTGCTGGCTGGCGGAGTAACTCGATTTCGTGCAGCTTCCTTATGCCACAAATCGGGTCTCTCAGTTGCCATTTGCATATAACTTTTTGCAAGCCGGAAGTTGGCAAATTTCTATCATTTTCTTTTTTTTTTTCTGCTTCTTCATATGTGGCATGCTACAATATTAAAGAAGTTGCATTTCGTTATTTGTGTGCACAATATGTATTCTATGTACTTGTCAGGCACATACACAAAACTCTCCGCATATCTGCACTCAAGTCGCGTTTGCTGCTGCCGTTGCAAATAAATTTGTCAAATTGCATTCGCAATTCGCTGTTTTTCTTTGCTCCGCTTATGAAAACTGGGCGCTGGCAACTGGGCGGCCGTGTGGCAGTTGCAAGTGGCAACTGAAGCTGCAGCCACAAACAAGCGACACAGCAATGTGTCTCCTTGTCTCTGTCTCTGGTCTGTGTCTCTGTCTCTGGTCTGTGTCTCTGTCTCTGGCAGAGTCCATACTCACGTTCTCAGCTCCCCCTTGCCCGCTTCTCACCACAGACAGCCTTTACACATTTCATTTTATTGTCACGTACGCGTTCATTTCGTCGTTTCTCTTTATGGTAGGTCGGTTTTCCACCAAAAATTATCCACTGCCAGCCACCATATAAGGCCATGCCTAGATGTCGTATTTCGCTGCAATAATAGACGTTCATAAGTTTTTTGTTCAAGCTACATTTACCTACAGGGTGTTTCAAGTGTAAACAATTAATTTTCTCTCAAATTACGTGAAATGTTCTCAAAAATATGCAACTGTTTCAAGTCAACATTAAATACACCGAGCTGAGAAGCAGCCAAGTTTATTTTTCACTCAACTTGAAATTTTTGCTGAAGTTATCATAGAACTGCATTTTGGCTTTGTATTTTTCAAATACAAAAGCTAAATATATATATAACGACAGGAGGAACTGAGGAACTGAAACTTCTGAAATTAAATTGAAGAAAAAGTTTAATAAAAAAAAGTTGTAAAACTGTTTGCTGTCAGCTAAATAAGTTCACTTATTTTGTTGCTTTTAATGGAAAATCTACGGAATATTCAGGTTATTCTATTTATTAAGTTGGAGCTTATCAAAAGCACAATGTGATGCAAACATTCAATGTAAGTGGCAGAAATGAGTTGTAATCAAGTCATGAAAACCTGTAGGACTTACTTGAGTTGATGAGAATTGCATAGTAAGGTGGTATTCAAAAATAGCAAGAGTTATCACGAAAACAAACAGTCTCTGTTTTACGGTTAAAATTAGTTATATAAAGATTAGTAGAAAGAACTATTTTCCATTAATTTGTCATCACATAACTCAGTCTCTCAACTCTTATGACATGAGTTGTCAGTCGGACAGTCAGACAATCATTCGGAACAGTTTTATATGAGTAGATGCGAGACAGTTGAACATTTCTTTATTTGTAATTCCTGCATTGACATCTGTAACGCCCAATTTCCGATGGCATTTCGCCAGCAGCTGGCAAATGCTGCATCTGCATCTGCATAGCTCGGCAATTCGCAGTTGCGATGCAATTAAATCGGACAGTCCGTCAGACAAAATAGGGAAGCCAAAAAAGCTGATAAAAGTCAAAAGGAAGAAGGAAGCTGATAAAAGTCAGATGGAAGCGTTACGGATTGTAGCAACAGTGAGCAAAGGAAAAAAAAACAAGTACTCGTACTTGGTGCCTCAGACGTAACTTGTGGCTGAAGGAAACACTGCTCGAGCTGAAATGAAAGAGCAGCTGCACTTAGTTAATTGACCATTAGAAGCACTTTGCCATTCGCGTGCAACGTTAGCTTTAACTTTGGTAATCTGCTCAAAGTGAGTTTCGCAAAATGAATTAAAATTCTTTGCAATGAATTAAAGAGCTCGCGCGCAAGTGTTGCCCGGGACACAAAAGCTTGCCAGCCAGTTGGCCATCCATCCTCAGCGGCTGCCAGGAGCAGCTAGCTCCGGAGCGGGCAGATTCGTGCCGTGCTAATTCAGTTTGGCCGTATCATCTTTCTGTTTTTGTGCCGTGCAAAAAGTTTGCTTTTGCTCCGTTTTTTTTTTGTACATTTTTTTATATCATTTTTTTTTTTTTTGGCAGTCAAGACTCCGGATAGCTGTGGATTACACGCAGATGCAGTTGCAGCTGCAGACGGCAGGAAATATGAAAACTAACAGACTTATTGCATTACTTACGCTAAATAACCCACTTACAAAATGGCGCACATGAAAAACGTGCTGTCGCAGTCGCAGTCGCTGAATGACAAAACGCAATGGGAAGGGGAAGCACAATGGGAGGGGAGGGGGAACAAGGTAAAAATGGCAAATGCGTACGGCAAACCGGTTACACTCGAGGTAAACGTAATGCTGATGGCGATAATGATAATGATGATGCGACCAACTTATTAAATTCTCCAACGGATGCTCACAAATAGAGTTACAACCGCTGACAGGCAGAGCAGAGGCAGAGTGCGCTCTTCAAGAGAGACAGAGAGACAGAGAGAGAGAGAGAGAGAGAGCATGACAATTGCACAAGGCAACTTGACAGCCCCAGTGACAGCTTCCCTGCGGAGGGGTGAACTGCGGCGCAGAGGGGGACGGGCCAGGCAAAGTTTTGGCATTGCCTGCTGAATGCATGAAAAATCTGAGATACGTGTTCCACGCCACACATGCGAGCATGTGAGTGTATGTGCGTGTGTGTGAGTGTGATGTGAGCGTAAACAGGTATCCAGGATACGCATATGAAAATGAATCGACGTGGCTTTGGCTAACCATACCCTGTTCTCAATTAATGAGTGCTTGAATGAAGCAGTTTATATTTATCGACTATTCTATTTTGACATTTAATATTGCATTGCATTGCTTTTGAGATTGAGATTTAAAATTTCTCAAGAACTTGAGTGTATATATGTATATATATTTTTTTGTAAGCTTGGCTTAAGATCTCGATTTAAGCGATTTCACCCAACTCATAAAAAATACGTGCTTCTGAGTATCTGACAGTCTGGCAGGGTTCTACAACTGCAGCAGCCTTATGCGTAGTTCTTTGGATAGTTTGCATTCGCATTGTTCGGTCGGGTCATAAAATTTGCATTCAGAGAATTGTTTTACGCTCTTCAGTATTTGTATTTTTTCTGCTCGCATGCTTTGGCTGCTGTCTTTTGTTTTTATACTTGAAAGCTCTTGAATTTCACATCTGACATTCGAGTATCGCAAAAATCTGCATTACGCTGCACACAGATACAAACAGAAAGTGCGTATCTTAAATTTGGATGCGAAGAGCAGCTGCAAGTATTGTGAGCTTTAAGTTTGCAGTTGAGAGACTGGCTCGGATGCATTTGTATTCAAATTTATGCTGATGCCGAAGTGTAGGCTGGCTGGGACGAATGGGAGACACCACCAGGATGAGAATGGAAAATCTAATATGCTAGAAAACCCAATTAAATGTTGCACAAAGCAAGAGCAACGCAGCTGGAAATAATTTTGTTTACGCTGAGCAGCACGACAGACAAGTTAAATCTTTTCTTCTGGATGTTCATGGACCAGCTGTGCTCTGGTCCAGGAGCCCAGAGCGCCTGGGGGTAGGCTATGAAAAAGCGCAGCGTTCACATTTGATTGGATTTGCAGTGTGCGTTAAGCTGCAGCTACACAGCTCCAAATACTCGGCTGCAATAATGCTTTAAATGAAGCCGGTCTGCTTTCTAATTGGTTTTCAGTTCTTTTTTATTATTACTTTCAAAGCTTGGCGACAGTTGTCAAGTTGTCGCATTTAACAACTAGCTGAGGTAAGTCGAAGCATTTAATTTCGATCAATTTGGCATTTCAGTCACGACATCTGCAATGGTTGCCCAAAAAAGGAGCCAACGCCACCAGCAAACAGCTCAGCGTATTTTTATGGCAATCGTCACGGGTTACAACTGAAATACGTGAGACTATTTCCGACCAATTGAATTACACGTATTTTTACAATTTCTGTTACTATGCTCTGCAACTGACAGAAACCAGAAATTCGCAACAAGAGTGCGCGATATTGAGATACCCTGTTTTCAGCTGCGTTTGTGATTTGCAGAAGAATGGAATTTTAATGGATGTGAGCTTTTCTGGCGTATGCTATGTGTAGACGTAGGCCACAGTTATTTATTTTTTATATTAGATATATTAGCAGACAGGCAGACATCGGCCCAATAAGGTGTCAAAAACACCTTCCAACTCATACACTTTTCATTCATCACCGATTGCCTTTGAAAAGTAGCCTTGCTTAATTAAAAATCTTTGCTTTGATGCCTTGCGTAAGTGCGGCCACTTTGACAAGATGTAACACATTGACTTAATATAAATTCTAGCCTCGACTTTGACACACAACAAAATCGATTCGTCTTCAGCTCTGCAGGTACTCCTAATGAGCTCCTGTGTGCGTTCTGTGTTCTGGGCTCTTGTGGCTTGTCGTACTTGTGAGTTTTTCACAATGCGGTTACAGCTGTGCCACAACAAAGTAGCTCAAAGTGTACGCATTAAGCCAGTCAAACACAAAATCAGCATACAATATATACATATGTGTGTGTGCAGTGTGGAAAAGGATTAGGAAGGCAACCGCAAGCGCTGTCAGAGAGCCGAGCACTCACTCATGCACACTTCTGAGTATGTGGAACAGTGGAGCATTAAGTGTGGCCTGGTGACTTGACTCTGCCTTTTTATACTCTACGCGCACTTGTAATTTATGTAACTATTGCTTGGTCACAAGCGAATCAGCGAAAGCGGCTACAAATGTGCGCTGTGCTACTAGGTACGCACACACACACACGCACACCTGCTCCACTTCCCATATTCTGGCACACATCATTTGCTTGTTGACCGAGTTTAGATCGATGCTCTGACCGGGTCAACTTCTGTGATTGCGACGCCATCAATTTAGTTGGGTGCAAAGCGAAAGGCAGCAAATATTTTTATACCCTGCATCCATGGAAACGGGGTAAATAGGGTACATAGTTGTGTGCATAGCACATAAGTAGTAAATATTCTTGGTCAGAACAAACGATCGAAATATTAAATATATATGTTCGTTCCCCATATCTTGGTATCTAGGTATCTAGGTTTATATTATATTAAGGTTAGGAATATTTCGCCTTTCGGATACCTCACTTCATTCTGCAGAATTTAACTTGCGCTAACTTCTTTAAAAGCGCTTTAAGATCAATTTTCTCAGCATAAGCTTAGCCAAACTTTCTTTCAGGACACATCGAACCAGTGTAACATTGCATTATTATGGCAACAGGGAGCCTTTGCAATGCGTTTACAGTCTTTATGGCCGCACAGAATACACAAAGACTCTGGTATTTGTGGGGGTAGCTTCGGCGGGGCCATAAAGTGTCAGGCCAAGAACTAATCGGTGGCGCTCATAAAAGTTCAACTGCCGCAGTTTGGACCACACAGCACAGCCAACTTAGGCGGGCACAGAAAAGTTATTGGCCAGTAAAAGGAGAAGCCAGCACTGGCAACTAGAGCTTCGTCTGAACAGGTTGAGTGCCACATGTGGCAGCTGCTCATGTAGCGTCGGCTCGACTGGCTGACACTGCGGCGGCAACTGTGGCTGCAGTTTCGTGACATCTTAAGTGCATCCCAGGGTATCCTGGCGTTAGCTGCCGCATTTATGGTCACATTTTCAGCGGCAGACAATGTCAAATAGAGCCTGCACAACACTGTTGTCTAGAGAAGTTTTGCTTTTTACTCACTTTTTTTTTTATTAATTTGCGTATATGCGCTTGTGGCTCGACGTGCCGCGAAACAAAAAGCTCACATTGTGGTTTTTACGCGTCAAATAAAAAGGCACGCGAGAGCGGAATTCCCGCACAGATTCATGAAAAACTATATCCATGCACGCCGGAGCAGACTGCACATTTATTTAAGCAAATATTTTCATAGGCAGCCGTGTCAAAAAGTCTGTCAACCT